TCCTATTCCTATTCCTATTCCTATTCCTATTCCTATTCTACTCTACTCTACTCTACTCTACTCTACTCTACTCTACTCTACTCTACTCTACTCTAATTCTATTCTATTTTATTTTATTTTATTCTATTCTTTTCAATATGTTTTGGTAACTGTCCACCCTTTGGTTGGTTAGATGGATATGTGCTGCATTCCATTCCCAGGGCTCTGGTCTTGAGATGTCTTGGGACTGTACAAATATTGCTTTTGATTTTCCAGGTCCTCTTCTCAGGTTCTCTCTTTCCCCACCCCACTCCCTGCCTCCCTCTATCTTCCTCCCCCCCCCCTCCCAATGTATGGCAGACTGATACCTAGCAAAGCACAGATTTGAGCAAAGGATGGCAGCTCTGACATGGGACTGTTTTTTAAAGGATTGCCAATTAATTGCCAATAGAATCAGATCACTCCAGAGTCGATCTTTCAATTGAGTCTAGAAGGTTGACCTCTAAGGTCATTTTCAATTCTGCTTCTAAGATTCTGATCTGATTACATTTGTCTCCCTCCAATCCTTCCCAGCCTGTAGTATCTATATGCCTGTAACACTGTTATGTCACTCATTTTAAGGAATGACATCTTTACTTTTCTGAAGTATTGGCGTTTCCTTCCCTTTTTTGTTCCCTAGGAAAAGAATACTCAGTTAATGGGAAAGGCTCAGCAGTTGTTTACTCACTGCCAGGCTCAGAAAGAAGAAATAAAACGACTGTTCCAGCAGAAGCTAGATGAGGTACAGTGAGGAGTGGGCTACTGTACAGATTGCAGGGCAAAAGGGAAAGGTCTTTGGTGCTGCGGATTGTAAGGTAGTTTGAACTGAACCAAGGAGAAAGGCAGAGTTGGTAAATCCCTAACTGAGAATTAAGTCCAAATCTGAAAATAAGGTTAAGGTTAAGGTTTATTGTATTTATATGCCGCCCTATTCCCAGGGGGACTCAGGGCAGCTAACAAACCCAAGGGGGGGGGGGTTTAAACAAGAAGGAAATACAACAAACAAGGTACAAAGAAAATTTAAAAAGACAATCAACAGTCACACGATTCGAGAGGGGAAGGGAACTCGTCAACCCCAGGCCTGCCAGCACAGCCAGGTTTTAACGGCTTTGCGGAAAGCCTGGAGAGAGATGAGGGTCCGAATCGCTGCGGGGAGTTCATTCCAGAGGGCCGGAGCAGCCACAGAGAAGGCCCTCCTCCGGGTAGTAGCCACATGACATTGGCCAGTACATGGAACCCGGAGGAGGCCTAATCT